GATTTCTTTATTTGTTCCTTACCTGCTCTCGGGGAGCCACATTGCTATTTTCCTATGTTGATGTGTGCAATTTACCATCCCAAACTGATTGTAGAGCCCTATCCTAAGGAACACTGCAGACACAGCTAAGAAGAGAAAGGCATTTTTAAGAAGAGCTATTAGACATGAGGAAGAAAATTTATGTGGATATGTCTTTAGCATATGTGTATGTATATGCATATCTGATTCTGAGCTTCTTGTAACTCCATGGACTAGCAAAGAGCTGAGCAAAAGAATAAATATCTGACTTCAAAAGAATGATTTTCAGATTTCCACTGTGAAAGTCACTCTGGAGAGACACATGGATAAGTAGATTTCAACACTCTTTTTTACCCTCTTACCTTTTCCCCTATGAGTCTTTTGATGTCTTTTGACAGATTTCTTAAACCCCAAGGCAAAAATACAAATTGGGATAAGTTGGTGTTTGGCATTCCCAAGTGTCTCATCCTTTACTAGAGCCCATTTCTAATTCTTGATACCCTTAGGAGTATCTTCCAAGAAATGCCCTGGTTCTATATCTCATCCTCTCAGAATCTCTTCTTTTTAGTGTCAAAAGAAATAGGTAGCTTGAAACAGCTAGCTAGTGGAAGAAAAAAATGAACCCTACACAAACAGGGGAGGGTTGGGGAGTCAACAATTAATCAACAGACTCTGCCTCTGGCAACCTGTGAAGACAATACCCTCTTCTATGAATTGTTCTGTGGTTTAATCCTAAAGATAAGTGCTACTAAAGAAAATTGAAAGATCTAGCAGGAAGGTCCCCATTGTCCAATGAGAGAGGATGGGGCATGGGCACTGTTTTTGTTATTATTAACATATCCGAGTGATTCCCAAGTATGCGTAGGGTGAAGAACCATGCAGAGGGATGATTGTCATACTGAACGTAGAAGTGAAATAGGTGCCTTCTGTAGAGAGGGTAGGAAGCCTAATGACAATGAAATAATGCTTTCTTTTTTAAAATATTTTTTTTTCGTTGCAGTTGAACACAATACCTTTATTTTTGTGTGGTGCTGAGGATGGAACCCAGGGTCTCACACTTGCAAGGCAAATGCTCTACTGCTGAGCCACAACCCCAGCCCCTGAAATAATGCTCTCAACATGGAAAAGGAATTTTGAATTCTACCCCCAACCGAATTATCAATTAAGGTCTCAAAATTCCCTCTATTATAGGATATGTTCCATCAAAAAGAGGCAATAATCCAAGTAAAAAAAAGACATAGGATATAAGAGACAGAAAATTCAACACATGCTAAAGGGAAAAGTTCATCTCAGGAAGATGGTGACAGTCACATTCTAATGACTGTGTACCAGGGAAAAGAGGGCAAATGACCTGCACTGGAGTAAAACAGAAAGTTCTGGATTTATTCCAGGTGAAATTGTTAGAATTCTTGTTACCTGGAAGTATTGTTATTTGAAGTGCCTGGAGATCAAAACCCATAGCTTGGTGCATGCTAAGCAAGCATTCTACCACTAAGCTATACCTCTAGCCTTGGGTATGTTGAGAAAAGCATTAAGATTATTGGTGGAGAGGAAGGTGTTAAATCAGTCATAAGTACATAGAAAATGAAGCATATTGAAGAAATAAAGAAATTACACAGGGTTAAAGTGCAGGAAAGGAAAATTAATCATTTTTTCTTACTATATCTTGCAGCTTTGAACGATATAGTTATAATAATGTAAAGATGGACTGATCTTACTACATGTCTACACTTGGAGGATGAGAGGTGTGCCTATATGTAGTGAGAGGTCAAGAAATAGTGACAACATTAAGAAGCAGGGTACAATCGTGTTATTTAGATACAACATTGTCAGTACCAAAATAGCCAACAAGAATTGAAAGTGGTTGACTCTGGGACAGGGGAAATGGAAAAAAGAAGACTGGAGACAGCTATCTTTCATAGGCAGCAAAATAGCTGACTTTAAATCTGTGCTTTGTATATTGTGCCTTGTAATCTCTCTACAGGTATGCTATCCAATATGAAAATTACAAATTCAGTTCCTTAATCACACTAGCCACATTTCAAATGTTCATCAGCCACGTTTGTTCACTATTATTACAGACAGCACAGATATAGAACATTTTCAATTTCAAGGAAAGTTCAGGACAGCGGTATTTTACAGGTCATTAAATCAATTTAGTGGGCCACAGCCAGAATTTAAATAAATAAGAAATCCATGTGCATCTCACTAATGTTTTTTTTATTCATGAAAATAGCATTGTAGGGGCTGGGGTTGTGGTTCAGTGGTGGAGCACTTGTCTAGCATGTATGAGGCCTGGGTTTGATCCTGAGCACCACATAAAAAATAAATAAATTACAATGCTAATATATATATATATTAGCATTGTAAAATACTGTTTTGCATACACACAAGTGTGTGTGCACAGCATTGAGGATCACAGTAAAAAACAAAATTTGGAAGAACTGCTTTAAAAACCTTAACCCTAGGGCTGGGGTTGTAGCCCAGTGGTAGAGCACTTGCCTAGCATGTGTGAGGCACTGGGTTGGCTCCTCAGCACCACATATAAATAAATGAATAAAATAAAGTCCATCAACAACTAAAAAAATATTAAAAAACAAAAACCTGAACTCAGAAAGCCAAGGGTCAAATGTTTTCTCTCATGAGAAGGCTAGAGCAAACAAGAGGAAAAAAGTGGAGGATCCCATGCAAACAGAAGGCTGTTCAGTGGGGTAGAAGAAGGAAATATGGGGGACGGAGAGGGGATAGGGAAGGGAAGAACAGTGGAATGAAACTGATAAATTATGCTATGTACATGCAGGAATATACCACAGCAAATTCCACACTTATGTATATCTATAAAGCACCAATTAAAAAAAAAAACAATACATGTACACAAGGAAGAAAAGTAAAACAGAGGAAGAAGAAAAAAAAATATGTATGCACAGCCCTGATTAAATAACAGTGACACCGGCAGTCAATTATTTAGGACTATACACAGGAAGATTTCCTGCTTGTACACCATTATTCTTTCTTTTACCCACAAAAGGCCTTGTTTAGAAAAGAATTTCATGCGGATTACTGATATCCAATTATCTTAGTGAAAATGAAAAAAACAGATAGCCTGATTTCATCTGGTAAATTTTTCAATGCTATATTGACATTTTTTAGGGAGTATGTTGTGTGTACATGAAACTTAGTTTTTATTTTTATATTGGCCTTTTCTGTCTCTTCCTCTACTTATTTATGCAATTATTGCTATACTAAGCAGCTATAAATTATGTATAATTATGTATTTTAATGCTGAAACACATTGGATCAATGATTGAGCAGACCTTTGAACTGACACCTGGTATGTTATATTTAAATATATCAATTCTTAGGGAAAAAATAAATAACAAAAAATAACAGTGACAGAGCCCAGCATGGTGGAACATGCCTATAATCTCAGGGACTCGGGAGACTGAGGCAGGAGGATCCCAAGTTCAAAGCTAGCCTCATCAACTTAGTGAGGCCCTAAGCAACTCAGTGAGACCCTGTCTCAAAATAAAACGCAAAAAGGGCTGGAGGTGTGATTCAGTTGTTAAGTACTCCTGGGTTCAATCCCTGGCACCTAAATAAATAAATACACAAATAAATAACAGTGAAAGACTCCTTGTACCTAGCAGAATCCTCACTTCTTCTGATAGCATCCTCCACAGCTTTACATCCCAATGGGAATCTTGGGACCTAGGGATCATTTTAAAAATAAATAAAACTACTTTGGGACAGCAGTATCACAATGCAAAAGCACAGTACAATAAATCTTATGGGCGATCACATTTCCTATTTCTCCTGTCATTTGTCTTTCTTTTTTGGCAAAGGCCATTTTTAGTCCAATTGTATTCCAATGGTAAGAAGAAATTAAGATAAGAAGGCTGTTGGAAGATTGGCTCATGGTTATAAAGCTAGTGATACAATGAGCCTAGGTTTCCTGAAAAAGTAAAAAATCTTCAGGGTCAGGAAATTCTATAAGGTCTTCAGATGCTAGTCAATACTTTAGACAACCTGACTGATGAGTTCTGACTGCATACAATAATGATTATGATAATAGCTAATTAAGCTATTGTTCTCAATACTTTACATGGATTATCTCATTTTAACTCTCACAATAACCCAATGATAGATCCCTTTATCAATCAATACCATTTTTCCAGATGGAGAAATGAGGCTCTGGCATGTTAATTAACTTGCCCAAAGTCACAAAACTAGTGAGTGGCAAAAGCAGGAAATACACTGAGGCAGTCTGGTTCCAGAGTTCTAAATACCATTTTGCTAAGAGCCAAGTATATGATGCATGGCATTTTTGGTTGAAAGGTGACGCCAGCTAGCCATTGAGATGATATGATTATGTTAAGATTTGCATTCATATGGATATTGGACTCCTGCTGTTCACCTCGGCCTGCTACGGGACTCCTGGAGAGTTCCCATTGGTTGGGGAAGTACAGTAGGAGGGAGTTCCGGGGAAGGAACTTCCTCTGGGGGTACTGGGAGAACTCGGCGTGTGTGGATCGGCGATCTTCCTGGGGGCGTATAGAACATTGGCGGCAGTTTCAAAAAATAAAGTTTGTTCCTGCTTGAGTGGCTCGTGATTTTGTGCCCAGCCAGACTGCGGCAATATTTTATATATACTCCCATTTAACCCCCCAAATTAATATCTTCCTAATAACCAGCCTAAAAGTAATAGTTCTCATTTATTAGCACCTACCAATAATCCATGAAATGTGATTACGATTTGTTCTACAATATTATTGTTACAAAGGGATTCTATTCTATTTACTGTATTAAAGCAGGAGTTTTCAGTTCAAATAGTCCATACTAATGGATAGGACTTATGAAAGCTGGGTTAACTGCTTCATGTAATTCCATAAACCAAGAGAATTTTAAAGATTACATGCCTAAAAGTTTGGGTCATTTTCAAACTTATAGATTTCATCTCAATGCATAAATAAGTACAAATAGGCTTGATAACATGGGTGGATTTATTTCACAAGATTCGAGTGCAAACTTAAAAATGACAAACAAAGCTTTTCATCAAGAATAAACACAAAATCTAACAATCCTGCAATCATGCATTTTAACAGAAAGTACAAATATGAATACATTATAATTTGGAACTACATTCAAAAATTAAAACATTTCTCTCTAAATCCAAAACACCGTGCAATCTTTAACCTGTTCTCATCTTGTTACCTTAGAAACATTTGTCATATGCTATTAGGAAAACATAGGCAGGATTACTAAATCATTCTTTGTGATCAAAGAAACATTATTCTCCTTAACTTCTGACTTTTTGAATCATTCATCTGTTTTTCGGTTCTGAAAAGCCATATGATACCTCCATTCTAGGAGAAAAAAAACATGAATACAAGTATCAAGTAGGCAAGATACTTTCATTTGATTAAAGCAAAAGTCACAAGTGTTTGACTTAGAAATGCACATACTTGTAATAAATTTATTAAGTACACTGTATTTGATGACTTACACATAACTATGAACAATTTAAACAGGTATAAAAATGTGAGATCAAAATCTGTAGGCTCCAATACTTAAAAAGTCACTATGAATATGGAAAGATTTCCATTTACATAAACATGTATAGTTTTAGATGAAAAATCAGGGGGTAGTGGCATCTCCCTGGTCCCTTAACAATATTTGGATTTCGCAAAGAATTAGCAGCACCCAACCTTAAGTGTTAATTACTGTTTCTAAAGGACCTATTCAACAGATTAGTTGGCAGTGTTCCAGCTTTAGGGAGATGGGGTTGAGTAGGGATGCAAACATCTGAGATAAGATAGTATGCATGCACTCACACATTTAAAATCACCAATCTAAATGGGCTTGGGGATCACATACTGGAAAAGTTTAATAAAATCATCCTTAAAGGATTAACTGTGGGCCGAGAGTAGTAAAAGTTGATTAGTAATCTACTTGATAATAATGGTGTTTCACTCTTCAAAGGCAAGTTGGGAAGAATGAGAATACTCATACATAACTTTAAGAAAACTTACCTAGAATTTTACTTTGCAGAACACTGAACAGAAATCTTTACAAAAACCTTCATTCTTGCTTATAATACCAGATGATTTTTTCCTTATTACCACCATATACATAACATTTAAATATTTTCTTTATAAATATTTCAGAGCAAAAAGAATTCTCTTTGTTGCAGTGGTGGCCCACATCTGTACAAAGCAATGTAAGCAAAATATATATATATATATATATATATATATATATATATATATATATATATATATATATTAAGAAAAGTGCAAAGAATAACAGTATTAAGAATTTTTGCTTTTTACAGTAACTATGGTTCAAGTGTGAATATCTAATCCCAGATTTTAATTAAAGATTTAAAAAGAAATCCACACTCCATGTTACTGCACAAACATCAGTCCCTTATCAAGTAACTCTGCCCTTCTCCCAAATGTAGCATTTCCAGTTTCTAAACTCCTCACTAACAGGAAAAATATGGTAACAGTGTTTTCTTCCCTTTAACTTCCCAAAACTCATCCAAGACAATTAATCACCCGTAGGTTTGAACAAGATATTGGGGAAGTCATTCATCATAACCCGCTTTCCTAAAATTAAAGCAAAATGAAAGGCTCTCTGAAATGCAAACTACTGATCAAGAATCAAATCAGCAACAGCAAACAGATCATAAATTACAAATGTAATTTAATATGAGTACATTTTCAAATCAATCCCTGTTATCAAAGATAAATTCAGAATCTAAATCTCTTTTCCAGGTTCAGTGCTATGCAAGGTTCATAATTCTAAATACTTAAGTTTTCATCACCTTTTCTAACAGAGAAAATGCTTCCTGTTAAATTTTGATTAACTTTCCATCATTTTATTCTTGGTCTCAGTCTTTTCATTTTGTACAAACACAGAAAGGCAATTTTCAGCATTTTAAAAATTGTACTTTCCTCTTTAGTCATTCAAATAATTATAGTTACTGATCTCAAAGATTTAAATAGCTACTCAATTCCCCTTCAAATGTGTCACTAGATATTTTTGGTATGCATATGTTGTTTTATTCTTACTTTAGGCACTGTAATTATTCACAATATTACAATGACTCTACATCTAACCTATGTAACAATTGTGGTCTTAAAATAATACCTCCTAAGGTATTATTTTACCCTACTATATCATGACTGAATTTTCCCTTCAAGATAAATTTTAGTTAGAAGAGAATTTTAAAGCCCTGCAGCACTTCTGCTTTGAGTAGTGTTAATACATATTTTGTCATGCTTAATATTTAAACTTCAGAACTAGGAAGACAATAAACATTGGAAGCTGCAAATTTCCTCAAACTACATTCTACTCCAACTCCAATTTACTTCGTTCAACATCAAATACTTTGATTTATGGAAAAAAGTGTATCAAGCTTTTTTTTAAACAGAATTTCTGCTCTAAAATTAATAATACATCTAAAGGGAAATAACTTTTCAATTTCAGCTTCACTAGAACTATGCAAAACTAAGTTAAAGTAGACTCAACAACTATTGTAATCAGGAATATTTTTTTACTAGATCTTTAGAATGATACACCTACATTCTAACAGACAGTTCAACAAAGGCTTAAACTCTAGAACAGAAGAAGAACCAGGTCACCCTCTGTGCAACCTCTCCTATGAGTAGAAGAGCAATGTTTTATTTGCCCCCATACATTCGCTCAATGTCTTTGAGGTAATGGTTCTTCAGTTCCTTCCTTTTCAGTTTGAAAGCATCAGTTACCAAACCAGTTTCAGGGGTCCATGGTTCTGGGCTTAAGCGAACCTTGATTGGAATTTCAAATCGCTCCAACTTCACTGAAATGAGAAGCGAAGGGAAGGAGAAAGGGAGAAAGATGGGAAGGCAGGGAAGTAGGGGAATAAAGAGGAGAGGAGAAGAGACAAACAATTAATAAAACATGAATTTTGTAAAATTTACCTAGATGACACACGTTATGAGGTAATCTATTTAACGGTGTCGGATGGTTAGTAATGATACCACTATCTTATCATTTATTTTATATTTCCCAAAGTACTCATGAATTGTTTCAGTTAGATAGTTTTAGTCTGTGGTTATTATTTATATAAATATACACATGCATACCACACCTTCCTCTTCAGAGGATATATTTGTTGTTCCCTTGACCTGGGATGGTCTTTTCCAATATAGTTGTATGGCTCAATTCCTTACTTCCAGGTGGCTGTTCAAAAGCCACCTCCTCAGAGAGGATTTCATGACCACTTATAACAAAAGAGAAGCCCTCTTGTCTCTATATCTTCTTATGCTATGCTTTGATCAAAGTACTAACCCCCACCCAACACATTATATGTCACCCACTAGAATTCAAGTTCCATGAAAGCAGGGTTTTTGTTTATTCATAGCCATCTACAGGGCTACATCCTTAATAAATACATATAAGTTTATTAATTTATTCTACAAAAAAATAATCCTTTAGACAAATATTCTTTATAAGCTCTGTTATAATATTAAAACACAGACCAAAAAGGGAATTGTAAATATCAATTTCCTTTAAACTGATGCAGCACATGTACTTAAATTAGTCAACTCAACATACGTCAGAAATGCAAGAAAATAGGATACAGAGGTAATGAATACAGTATCCAAAAATTTTAGCTTAAGTTTTGTTGAGAGCCACAGCGGAAGGGGCCCCAGCAAACTTCCAGCTGCCAGCAAACTTCCAGCTGCCGGCTGATGATTGGCTCACAGCAGCCCCAGCAACATCTAGCTGATTGGCCCCTCGGCCCCAGCAACATCTAGCTGATTGGCTCCTCTGCGGTGATGCTCATTGGGCTGTTTCCCTGCCCTTTCAGACCACGGAGCTGCTCACTGGGGGACTTTTTTGGCTCCGCCCACGTGACCCAGCCAATAGGCCTCAAGAGCAGGAGGATTGTGGGAGGTGGAGAGAAGCTTGTGTGGGAGAGAGAGGCTTGTGGAAAGCCGGTGGTGGCAGTTGAGGCTCTGAGGGTTTTTCCTGAGAGGCTGTTTTGTTTGGCGTGTGTGGTTCTAAAAATAAAGTTAGTTTCTTTTGACAAGTGGCTCCTGATTGTGCCCAGCCAGACTGCGGCAAAGTTTTGTGACTAAATTCTTGAGTTCTTATTCCACCAAGTTAATTATTTATTTAGGGGATTGAACCCAGAGGAAGTTAACCACTGAGCCACATCCCCAGCCCTTTTTTCATATTTTATTTAGAGAAAGAGTCTCACTGTGTTGCTTAGGGCCTTGCTAAGTTGCTGAGGCTGGCTTTGAACTTGTGATCTTCCTGCCTCAATCTCCTGAGCCAATGGGATTACAGGCATGTGCCACTGTGCCCAGCCAAGCCACCAAGTTATTTATAATTAATACAAGCCCTCCTTAAAATTCTGAATGCCCATTAACAATGTTAACCTACAAATAAACATTATTTTGTATGCAATTGTTTAAAATAGCAATTGTACAGAGGCAAATATTTGCATGTTTAAAAAACTACTGAACAGCCTAGACAACTTTAGAAACAATTTCATTTCTGTGGAAAGTACAAAGAATTCAAATTCAAGGAAGTTCCTGTTCATGTCATGACTGAGTTTTATGAAAACTTTGGTAAATTAATGAATTTCTCATTAAAATGCGAATATAAAGTCAAGTATGAGAAATAATCCTTTAAATATTACTTAGAACCAACTTCCTAAATTAATGTCTGAACAGTTAGTAAAGGAACATAAACCTTGCTTGAATTAACCATGTCTGCTCTATTCATACATACAGTTACATAGAGGTGTCTGAAATATGATTGCAAGGTCACATTTGGATCTCAAGACAACAATTGAATTCTTAACTTCAGATGTGGCTCCAAAATCTTTCCTTTCATTTTAGTTTCCCTACTTACATAGGTCCTATTCTAAAGATGCTGACAAAATTAGGCAAGGCAAGCACATTATTTCAGTTGCAAACATGCTAATGAAAGCACATTTATAAGTGTTCCTGTATTTAATCTTCATTAGCTAAATTCTTGTTTAAAGAGGAAAAAGTGTGCTGCTTTAGGATTTCATTTTGGAAACTCCTAAACATTAGTTAGTACCATAAGCTGCAGAGAATAATAGACAATACAGTATCCAGTAAACAGAACAAAGTAATTGTTAAAAGTGAGAAAAATGAAAGATTATGGGAAGGAGGAACAAATATAGTTTGCATGTGAAATTTTCATCTGAATTAACTTGAATGTTATAAAGTGTGGCCTGCAGGTGGCAGCAACTATCAATTTTTATAGCCTTTGGAACTTGTTCAAATTACCTAAAAACAATTACCTTGCAGTCTTATGATACAACCTCTACCTCACACTTATATTTAAACATGAAGAGGACTACTAGGAAAGATGTAATATCTCAGAAAGACATGCTGAATACAATCCAGACTATTTTACACCATTTTGCATAATTCTCCAAAATGACAATGTGAAGCAAAGGGATAGCAAGATCAATCTTTTGTGAAACAGAAAAGCTCATGATTTATACATTCAAATCATGATTAGCATTCATTATTCAAATAATAAATTGTTCCATTACATGCTTCACTCCAAGAACAGGAAATTTATGAGGGCATATTGGGTCCTAGGGTATTTATTCTGTTTTCTGCCTGATTAAGAGGCAGCTTGAGTTTCTCTATTATTGCTTTTACAGTTAAATATGCAATGATAATTATTCAAGTAATATATATTCTGTCACTGCATTCAGAGAGTAACTAAAATAACTGCAGCATACCTCTGGTGAGTAATTTATCAGTTAAAATACTTTTTTGAAATATCACATTTTTTAAAACTTCAGGATTTATATAAAAGAATGTTCTGGAGGCTTGGTGACATTAATATGAAATTATGTATTACATCTGTAACTAACACTATATTGAAGAAGAAAACATTAAGCCACACTTTTATAGTTATAAATAACTTTTCAAATCTGATTGTGTTAATAATTGTTATTTAAAACTTTATAGTGTTTAGAGTTCTCAAAGCTATTGAGGAAACAGTAATCAATTGAAAATCTATTACTACTAACTATGTTTTTAAGCCAAAATGGAACCTAAGCAGTTTACTTTTTAAATGAATAGAAATAACAATAGCCCAGTTAGGGTAACAAGTATCTCTGATGGAAATATAAACCAGTACGTTTTTATGGGGAAAAAGGGAGTAACTTGGCAATGCAGAAAAAAAAGCCTTTAAATTGTATAGTCTCTTTGACTCAGAAACTCAATTTCTAGGAATTCTTACAAACAAAATTATCACACAAGAAAATCATTGAGTATAATAGATTCATATTACATTTGCTTAAAGTGGGGGGAAATGGGTAACTCACCTAAAACAAGGACTTAAATAGATATTCCTATACTGGAATAATATTTAGAAATTAAAAATGATATTATAATTCTATAGCTACTGACTCAGAAAATGTTAATGATGTTGACAGTTAAGTACATACGCTAGAAAATAATCTCATTACCCAAAGGAAACTATTATCAAGTGATTTTTATTTCCTTCTTTATAATTTTCTACATTGTCCAATATTTTATAATGAGTACAGGAAATCTATAATCTAAAAAATGATTACTTTTATTTTAAGAGTAAAACAATGGATTAAAATTAGATTAACAGCTTCCAATTAAACATGAAGTGTATATAGGTATTCTCTGCCCTCTCTGGAAAATAATTTAAATTATTTTAAATTCTGCACTGGATAGAAGAATTCAATAAAAATTTAGAAGATAAGTCAGGTGCGCTGGCACATGCCTGTAATCCCAGCGGCTTGGGAGGCTGAGCCAAGAGGATCATGAGTTCAAGCCAGCCTCAGCAATGGTGAGGCACTAAGCAACTCAGTGAGACCCTGTCTCTAAATAAAATGCAAAAATAGGGCTGGGGATGTGGCTCAGTGGTTAAGCTCCCTGGGTTCAATCCCCAGTACTCACCCACCCCCAAAAATTTAGAAGACAAATAGCTTAAGTATTAGTGGTAACGAACTTAGAGTTGAGAGGGATAAAACAAGTGCCAACAGAGAAGAGCATTAAAAAGAAGCAAAATGACCTCATGGTCAATTCAAGGCAAGTGCCCACTGAACCAAAGAATGGGTGACACTTAAAATAGGAGGGCTTACCCCAGCCTGTTTAGAGAATAGTCCTCTCTCACCCTGTACTGCTCTTCCCAAACCAGCCTGTGGACAGATTTATTTTTTGGAAATTTTGCAGTAGAGAGATTCTGGACTCAAGAACATTGGGCACAATACAAGAAGGGAGAGAGTAAGGATTCAGTGAAGGTAGGACGTGCTGTGCCCAACCTCCTCTGTCCCACAGCCCCTTGCTCCCTCTTGCTATAAACTGTTAGCAGTCAGGCTAATATTTCTCAGTCAAGAGATGGGCAATGTCTTCTTCAGAGAAATGGAGTGAACCAAGAGAAAAAGACACTAACATCTGATTAAGTTTTCAGTGAAGCCCAAGAAGCTTTCCAAACATTTTTTTTAAAGTACTTCATTCTTAAAAATGAATGGACAGACAAGGATCAGTAGACACTTGAGAAGCCACAATCAATTCAAGCATAAAGTAGAACTTGGAGGAAAAGGAGACACTGATAGGAGAAGGAACCACATCAAAGGAATCCCTTTAGTATCCTTAGAAGAATAACAGGCAACACATTGATTGCATCCAAAAAAGAACAACAGAGTATTATTAAAAGGAACACTGGGAAAACATGAACAATCTTTTGAAAATTAACAGTCTGAGACTGGGAACTGAGCATTCAATAGATATATGAGATGATAAAATTGAGAGACCCTGCCAG